ATGTTATAGAATATTGGATGTCTGTAACCCTCCCCTAACATTTTGCTATTTTCAAATCAACTGACCTGTGGCTATTCAAAAATGGAGCGCGCGTATCTATTTTCCTGCAAAGGAAATAAAAATACCTAAGCAAGTTTATGTGAGGCTGGAATATGGTACAGTCACAGGCAATATGACTGTTAACATCTCACTGGGCTAATATTTAACCAAAATCTTTCAAGTGGTTTCTATCAACACTCCGAAGAAAAATATATTTATTTTCGTCCTCCACTGAGTCTTAGATGGTAACTGAGTTAAAAATGTTACCAAAATATTTCCCTAGATAGGATTCAAATTATTCGCGATCACAGAACAGAAAGAAATTTTACGGCGACTGAGCATTCCATTTACAGTAATCGTCATCAAGAAAATTGCCTTAAAGGAATTTTAGTCAAAGCTAGCCTAGCATATTTATCGGGATTAAATTCCCATGCAAATGACTTTGCACAACTGTGAGTTAAATTTAGGGAAATATATCAACTTCCTTTAAGATTGATGTTTTGTGACGCGAATTGACTGCTTGAAGGAGTACGAGCATTCTGTTTCACTTTCCACCGTTCATCTTTAGATTCAGGAGGGATTGCGTGAGGATGGTCAATCGATAATCGAGAATCAGTACCGATCAAGGCACTCAGCAACTCAATTATTTGCAGTTTTATCGAGTTCTGAGGGAAAATGATCTTAACATTTCCACGTCCGAAAAGTCACTAGATATGCCTTCAGACAGAAGGTCTGACAAAACATATGTTGCCGAACTAGCGAACGCAGCATATTGTTTCCTCCCAATTCTCACGTCGTTTCAAATCTTATTTACAGTCAAAGTTTGCAATCACCTGTGCTAGTTAATTTGGTATCGAGTGATTTTTAAGCCTTGCATTGCTTCAAATTATTCATCATCTAAATTTTACATAATGCTTATATTAATATGCCCATTTAGTAGAGGCTAATTTGATTTCCGTTTAGGTATGGAAGTTTTTGGATAAAGGAGCCACATGTTGCTCCCTTTTCAAGGTTTCCAAGACAAACACTGATCATTTTTAAAAACATCTTCCTAATATGATAATGAAAAGACCAGAGTATGTTTCCCCTTTATTAGAAAGTTTCTTACCCAAAGCTTCAGAAGAATCACAATTTATTTTACGAAGTCGTAGAGATTTAAACAACTACGTGTTTTAAAAATGACACTGCTACTACAACTTCAAACAACGCATGTCGCTGATAAAGGAGCGAAGGAAACAAAAGTTATCGTTCCGGATAAAAATAGACTCTCTGCTGATTGCAGACTAAGGGAAGAAAAGATAATTATATACAACTTTTTATTACTTATGAATATGCTAAGTAGCAATAGTTCTTGATTTTGTGAATCCTGAAAAACACGCTAAACAAATCCGACAAACGCACGCTCGAGGACCATATAGAAACGCCATCGTCCTAAATTTTGATTCAGCCTTCAGCAACTATGAGGTCGCGGCATCTCAAAAATCGAGCTTCCCAAGACCAGAAGGTGATTAGTACGTGGAGTAGCTGGTCGACGGTTCTACTGCATACTAGTACTAACGTCTGTTTTCTATGTTGCTTTCGTTTATCTTGAAATCTGCGATAACGTAATTGCTTCGCAACAAATATAGTTTTTAAATAGCACTCTGTCGCCGATATTTGCTACGGGGATGACCGTGATGTAAATACAGTAAGTGGAAAATAGCCCTAAAGTATCTGGGTTGGGGAGTCTTACTTTAACTCTGTTGTCCTCGTCAGCAACTTATCTCAACCTAGCAGACTATAGAACGAGATTATCCGAGAGTCCTACACAACCCCAAATGTAAGAGACTGCGTTCAACATTAGACCTTCACTATCAACCGAGTGCACTGTTTTTTGCTTCAGTACGCATGATTCATCAAAGCGTTTGAGCATGACTGTTGGGTTGATCGAAGATCATTTTAGCAAAGAAACTTTTCGCGACTATTTCTTTCGTGGTAATCTA